TGACTTGATCGGGTGAGAACGAGCTCGCCGCGAGCGCAAAGCGCACAGAACGTTCCTTGTTCAACTGTATTGAAGCCTCCCTCTTGCGCTTCATCACTCGCATGTTCGCCATCGAGGGCCCGGTCGCGACTCTCTGTGACCTTCTTAGCACCGATGCCGGCGCGCTCGTTCCACCTTGTTTCGCCGCCGCACGTCTCTCCGTACGAATTCGATACTCGTACTCTGCCGCGCGAGGATTTTCATCTGCGTAATCGTCATCGTCTTCGTCGTCATCGTCCACGACTCCATCGCCCACGCTCATCTCTGCCCCTCCTCTATCCAAGTCCCGCACACCCGCACTGGCGTCGTTAAGCGTAGATAAGAATCGATCGTACTCGGCTACCTCATCGAGCCAATCGAACTCGGGCTCGATTTCCGGAAGCGCGAGCTCCAACGCAGCCAACTCGCTGTCATCGATCGCCCCCGTCCTCGCTCGCGTGCGCCTGGCGATCGCATTCATCAACATCTCCTCATCGTTTTCATCGTCTAAAAATCCACCCTCCAGAATCATATCCACCGCCGCGCCCGCCGCTCGCGTCGCCGGAGAGCTCCGCCCCTGACGCGAATCGTCCGCCGACAACGCCGCCGCGACTGCCGATCCCAATCCACGCCCCCGCCGCGTCGGCGTCCCTCCGAACGGATCATCCATCACCCCCATCGACGGCATCACCGTTCCGCTCCCGAACGCCCCGTCGTTTCGTCCCCGACGCGACCTCGGCGGCGTCTCCGCCACCGCCGCCGCCGCGAGCGCTCCGAAATCTTCATCCTCCAGCGACACATCGCTCTCCCACTCGCTATCGCTCAGATTTTCTCGATCGGGCGACTCCATCGCGGCGCGATGACCGTCGTCCTCCTCCTCCTCGTCCTCGACGTCGTCATCGCTCTCGAAATCGTCCAGGTCTGAGTCTAAAGTTCCAACTGCGGGGACGTAGTCGTCATCCTCTGAATCGTCATCGTCCGTGCGCGTCGACGTCGACGGACGCTCGACGGCGCGAACGCGGCTCGGTGACGGTGATTCCATCGTCGACCGACCGAGGGGCGGTGGGAACCGGACACCGGGCGACGCGACGGCGGCGAGAGGAGGAATGGGGACGGTGGTTGAACTTTTTAAAATCGATTCGACAGACGCGGCGAGGACGCGGAAAGCGTCGGATGGTTTTGTATGTTACACGAATATCTGCGAATAAATCTGAGTACACAGCGAGACTACACGAGTAAGACGGCGTTGCAGCACCCGTCGTTCTCGGGATTGTTGGTGACCTGGGCGTACTTGCCCCACACCACCTTTCCGCCCGGGGTGACCAATCCGAGCTCGCTCACGTTTACCTCGATAATCGTGCCCTTGGTGATGACGCCGAGTGAGGAGTACATCGGACCGTTCGGGTTCTTCTTCACCGATAGAATGTCGAGCTGGAACGTCGCCTTGAGCTCGGGGTGGGTGACGTGCGCCTTGGTCATGCGCAAGCCGCTCGGGCGGATGAAGCGCTCGTATTTCGGCGGCTTTCTCGTGAAACCCGGACCGACGAACGTCGCCTTGGTGATCATGCGCTTCCACGATTTCTTCATCCGCTTCCCCGATCGCATCACCTTGAACATCTCGTCCTCCGCGACCGGTCGCACCTTGGGCAGAGGCACCTCCCACTTCCCAGCCTTTTCCTTTCTCTTTTGTTTCACCGTGTTCGAGAGCACCTTCGCCCGGGACGTCTGCTCGCGATCCATCAAATACGCTGGAATCGCCCCCGGCGCCGCCTTCTCCTCCACCTTGTGTTTATTATCCCTCTCGCTGTGCGAATGAATCGTCTTCTTCATCTCAATCTTCTCCTTATGTCGCTTCTTCGCGTACAGCTTCGCCTTCAAGCCGATGAGCTTCTTCGCCACCTGCGAGCGCCTGTGCGGCTCTCGCGCCTCCTTCTTCCTCGTTCGCTCCTCCGCATCGAGCCGCTTTCCGTATCGTTTCTGGAACAACTCGATGTGTTCATTCTGCGGCATCGCTCCCGCGCTTTACCTCCGCGCGCGCGCGCGTCGACGATGGATTCGATTCGCGTCGTCCGTCGCCGCCGCCGCCGCGCGTCTCGATCGCGTCCACCCGTCGTCCCCGAACGCGTCTTCGCGCCACCGTTCGAGCGCGTTTGAACGAACGATTCGATCGCGCGCGGAGGCGTCGCGCGCGGACGCGTCGGGCGAAGACGCGTGTGTCGTCGTCGTCGTCGCGCCGCCGCCGTCGCGAGCGGTCGATGGGGCCGTCGGCCGGGGACTCTGTGTGGAGTCATCACTCGCGGATACGTCCGATACGTCTCACGGGGGGGCTCTGTGTGGAGTCATCACGCACGGATGTGTCCCACGAGCCCACGAGGGACTCTGTGTGGAGTCATCACTCGCGGATACGTCCCACGAGCCCACGAGGGACTCTGTGTCGAGTCATCACGCACGCGCGGTCTATCCATGGACGTCACCACGGGTGATGACTCAAGACGGAGTCCCACGCCGCATCACCGTCGCCCTCGCGATCGCGCGTCGGCGGCGTCGTCCCACGCCGCGCGCGCTCGACCGCGACGGCCGACGAGGCGTCCACGCGTCGACGTCGACGTTCGAGACGCCCCGAGGGCGACGCGCGCGCGCGGGCGGCGACGCGAGCGACGGATGGCGCGCGCGATGGTCGATCGCGCGATGGCGTCGCGCGTCGTCGCGCGCGGGGCGTCGCGCGCGGGGAGTGGGCGCGTGGGGCGGGTCGGGCGGGCGCGGATGTTCGCGCATGGGGGGTGGGACGCGGACGCGACGTCGACGTCGACGTCGACGCGGGCGCGGATGTTCGGACGCGCGCGCGGGACGGCGGCGCGGGCGATTTCGGGACGCGGCGGCGGCGCGGCGGATGGCGGCTCGGGCGACGGCGGCGGTGGAGGAGGTGATGGCGACGACGACGAGGACGGGGGCGAGGACGGGGGCGAGGACGGGGACGACGACGACGTGTTGCTCCGCGATTCGCGAACGAACGCGGAGGAGGTGAAGAGGATGTGCGAGAAGAACGGGTTGGAAGTCCCGAGAGATTTGCTCGACGCCGACGGAGGGACGATGCGGACGAGTACGCTGGACCTGTACGTCAAATATTCAAAGATTAGTATTTTAGCCTTCCTGATGAACACGTTTCCGGCGTTTCGGGATCGCATGCTGGCCGATCCTCGGTTCGCGTTCAAGCTCTTCGTCGAGACCGGGGCGGACGCGGCGATCAACACGGTGATGGAGATCAAACAACGTCGCGACACGTTTTGGGACGAGTTTGAGTTCTTTGCGTGCGATCAAATATCAGCTTTCGCCGTGAACACGGCGATCCTGACGATTTGTTCGCCCGCCATCGTTTTGGGAAACACCACGCGTTCGATGCGCAAGCTCGGAGAGCTGAGCAAGAACGCCAACGGGTTGACAAAGGTTTGGTATCAGGCGAGAAAGTACATCGGCAAGCTGCCGGCGAACGTCTTCGCGCTCGATCCCAAGCTTGGATTCGCGAGTAAGATTGTGCGCGGCGGCGCGTGCGTGGTGGCCCGAGGCGGGCAAATATTTTTCGTCTCCACCCTCTGCGGGATAATCGGACAGGCGACGGCGAACAGCCTGATGATGCTCAGACGCGCGGCGGGCAAGAACAAGTACAGCAAGGAGTACGCCGAATCCATCGACGATTCGATGGATCCACCGGTTTTCGACACCGGTTTGCTGTGGGGGAGATTCATGTGCTTCTCTGCGAACGTCCGTCAGCAGCTCGTGATTGGGGGCGAGCGCGCGGTGGAGCAGATCGCGAGTGGGATGCCCGGACCGGCTGGGCGAAGACTCGCGAACGCCTCGACAATCGCGTTGCGGGTGGCAAACAACGTGAAGGGTGGAAGCGACTTCAATGATTTCGTGATCTCACAGGCGATCGCGGAGGCAGAGCGTAGAAACAGATAGACGATAAAATCTCAATATTGTATTACGACGTGTTCGATTCGCTAATGGAGCGTTACGCGCTCGTTTCCATCTGCGCCGGCGCCGGGAGCGTTCCTTCTCGATCGACGAATTTGCGCAGTCTCGGCGGAGTTCTCGCCGGTTTCGGTAAACCTCGCGGGAACTTGTGCGGGTGTAGCAGCGCACGCAGGCCGAGGCGGTTGTAATGCACCTTGGTGACGCTCCCACCGGCGCGCTCGACGATCTCCTTCGCCTTTGTGCTCGCTCTGGAAACCTCCAAGCGAACCTTGATGAAGGCTTCATCCGCGTCGACGCCGCCCGCCAAGAGCTTGATCCCGTGCTTGATCTTCTTGTTCGACAGCCCAGCATCGACGAAATCCTTCATCGTCAACGTCCGCGGATTGTCGCCATCGTACTCACCGAACCGTCCGGCCTCGACGTACTCTCGAAGCGTCGCCAAATTCACCACGTCAAACGTCATTCGATGCGGGTTGTGCGCCCCCCGCTTCGGAAGCGTCAATCGCAGCGGTGTCTGCCCACCCTCAAACCCGAGTCTCGGACCCCCTCCCGAGCGCGATTTCGCCCCCTTGTGCCCCCGACCGCTCGTCTTACCCTTACCGCTTCCGATCCCTCTCCCCACGCGTTTCCGCGCTTTTCGCGCGCCGTCCGCGTCTCGCAGCGCGTTCAGCGCCAGCGCCCCACCGCTCGCGTGATCGATCGCCGACCCACCCCGCACCGTTATCCCCCGTTCGTACCACGCATCGTCATCGAACAGCCCGTCCCAATCCGTCCCGTCGCCCGACCCGCCGTCGTCGCCGTCGCCCGACCCGCCGTCGCCCGACCCGCCGCCGTCCCGCGCCGTCCCACTCGCCGCGAACCCCCGCGTCGCCCCCACCCCCCACGCGCACGCGCGCGCGGACGTCCACCGCGCCCGCGCGGCGCGCGCGACGCCCCCATCGCGCGCCGGCGACGACGACGTCCGTCGCCCAGGCGCGTCGCTTCGTTCCACGACGGGTGACCACGCGCGCGTCGCGTCCGTCGTCGTCGTCGTCACCGCGCCCGCGCCCGCGCGTCGACCGAATCGCCCCGCGCGCGCGATCGCGCGTTCGATCGCGCGCGACATCG